GAAATGTGCGCTGCTTTTCGGTCTGGTTACTACCGTTTATGTCATGGCACCGGATACCGGTACCCATCCCTACAGCTGAAATATACTGAATAATTCACCTGAAAGATAAAGTGGAGAACTGTTGAAAGCCGAAGTTCACACAGAAGAAGTTTCAAAGTTTGAAAGTAGATGATGTTAAAATGTACATTAGAAAAAGCTGACTAAAATTTTTTTAGAAAAACAAAACATCTGAATAAATATTGAAGGTTCATATTCTTTTAATCACTGAATGACTGAAATGTGGGAAATTCAACTACAGACAAGTAAAGGGTGTCAGCTTGCTACAGGGGTGCCACTCTACCCTGCGGAGAATGAATATGATTATCTGAAATTCATCATAGAGACTCAGGGTCAGCCACCAGATCATGTTCTAGACTCATTTACACTGATGACTATCTCATTGAAGACGACTACAAGCAACAGCGCTGGACAGATAAGACTGACCAACAATTTCAGTACGAGACAGGATATCCATCCCTGGAGACTCGATACATAAAACTTAAACTTAAACTTAAACGACCTCGAACAAATAATAAAGGTTAGACGAGGACCAGAAGATGGCCAAAGCTTATTTGTCAGCTTAATTAAAGAGATGTTGGCCTTGGATGCACACCAGCGCATAACACCCTCGGAGGTTCTCCGGCATCCCTTTTTCAACCCTGGCCTCTCTAACAGGTTCCCATGTATTGACATTGAGAGAATCTCCAGAAGAGAGAAACAAAAGTGTGGATCATTGGGTCAGGCTACATCAGACGAGGCGAGAGTGACGCAAAAGAGAGGAGAAAATTTCAGACTTGATGCCAAAGTCCAATGGTTTGGCAAAGGAGGGATGCGCTGGAGCGGAGTCCTTCCTCGTTTTTATGAGGAGCGATGCCCACACAGAGACCACCTGACATATTGGTAATCCATGCTTGGGGCAATGATTTGGGACTCACGTCTGCTTATCAACTTTCTTGTGTCATTGAGAAGGAATTGATGCAACTGCACACAGAGTTGCCCTCAATGACAATTGTATATTCATCCATCAACGAGCGTCAAGTGTGGAGATATGGAAATCCAGGCAAAATCAATAAAGACAGGAAGATCATGAACGCCAGCATTAGAAAGGCTGCTGACCACTTTGCTGGAGTGATTATTGAGCATCCATGCTTGAGGTTTTTCATTCTCCATTTTTTTACCCGACAGAGTTCATTTAAACCAGAAATGCACTGAAAAGCATCCGCTCAGCGTCTTCAGTCACCTCACAGAAAACTTTCCTTCACAGTCCAGAAAACCACATGTTGTTTACTTTAGGCAATGTGAGCAACACAGAGCTAAATTGTGCTCTCATTTTCCTTTTCTTTTGCCTCTCACCCCCCAACCAGTCATGACCGATGGCTGCCCCTCCCTGAGCCTGGTTCTGTCAGAGGTCTCTTCCTGTTTAAAGGAAGTTTTTCCTTTCCACCGTTGCCAATGCTTGCTCTCATAGCGGATCATTTGATTGTTGAGCTTGAATTTAATTGAATTGGATTGAACAACATTTTAAACATTCAGGTGAGAGGTTCACGTTGTAGGGAGCTCTACAAAATCTACAAATGAAAAAATTGTCATTAGCGGCAAATCAAAATAAAGAAAAACATCTCTTGCTGCTGTGTTGGCAAAGTGTTAAAAACATGCTGAAGCTCAAACACTGTTTACAGCACTTTGTCATGTAGCTGATTTCTGCTTGCAGAGCAGTCTGCAGCCAGCCACTCCCAGCTCCTCACAGCCTTTTTCTTGTAAAAGGCAGTGACTTGCTTTTTGATAAATAAAAATAGGCAAGGCAAGTTTATTTGTACAGCACAATTCAACAACAAGGTGATTCAAAGTGCTTTACAGAGACATTAGAAACAAAAACAAATAAAAAGCATGATTTAAAATTGATTAAAACAAGCAAACAAACAAACAAAACAGTATAAATAACTGAAAAATCGAAATAATCCAAATAATAAATAATCCACTGCTCCCAAGAGTTCAGAAATAATGCAGCATATTTAAAATAACAAATATTTCTGTAAATCTAGTCTGAAAAGAATCCGCCTCTTTGACTTTGCCGTCTGACGTGTGTTTGGATTTTCTCCGTCGTAGAGCTGCCGTCGCTCCTGCCGATCGTGGATGTGGCCGAGGCTTTGCTTCACGTCCGCAATGGTGACTGGTTTCTGTGTCTGCTGGTTGCCAATGTTCCTGACAGCTTCAATGAAGGTAATTCATCTGTTGCACAACGCTGCACATTCTGTCAGCAGATAATGGAAAATAGAGTGGCTGATTAATTGACAGGAATAGTTGGATATAGTCAGTCAGTGTGGAGGAAACAGGACCTGAGATTACCTCAAAGGTTTCTCGCTGTATTAGAATTACACACTGATATCTACAACTATATGTGTTGTTCTTAATTCTGTTCATGGCAGCGGCCCAAGAGTGCAGGCATTTGTCTTTGACTGATGATGAACATTATTATTATGTCACCCTGACTCACGAGAGCCCTTTGAGAGGCTCTCTGGAATAAAACACTCACTGTCTCCTTATCACAGAGCGTCAGAGCCATGTCAGGCGCAGATTTGTGCTGCGTAGCGGTGATCATCAGATTCCTTTTGGCTTTGCTGCTGCAGTTACTCTTTCATTGACATGAAAGTGCAGTGCATTCATCCTTGGATGAAGCGTTTGTAAGGTTTGCCATGTTAAACACCAGCTGGCAGCCAGACTTCACCCCGCCGCCTCATCAATGGTGTATGAATGATCCAAGAGCAGCACAGATGGAAACTAATTCAATTTCAAAGCGTTGCTGTAATGCCAGCTACTAAGTTTACTTTTAAACAACATACAGTGGGAAAGTGAAGGACAAATATGCCAGAGAATTGATGTAATCATGGCTGTTGTGTATTGAAGGACATAACTGGGATCTGGGAGTATTCAGATTATACAGTCTGCATACGTTTCTCCTCATTTGCTGTAAGGATATAGTGAGCAGAAAGTCCAGTGTTTCAGCGTGCCTCTCTGTGTTGCAGTGTGCAGAGGTCTGATTAAGAACGGAGAGCGTCAGGATGAGGAGAGCGTAGGTGGGCGGCGCAGGACTGAAGCGCTCCGGCAGCTATGTCAGATGAATCCCTCGCAGGCTCTCAATATCCGGGCTATGGTGGTAGGTATACTGTTAGTATAATGGCGGGACTGAACTCACACTTTATTTACAGCATCCCAAAAGTCATTTATTTCAGATGAGAGATGAGTTCTCTCATCTACTAGCTGCTCTTTTTCTACTCTGGATGCACGTTTTCTGCAACATTCATTCTGCTGCCCTGTTTCATCCCATTAATTATGCATGTATAAAATAAAATTAATACTCGCAGCAGCACATTTGGAGCATCTGCTCCTTTTTTATGAAGCGCTCTCCTGATTAAATGTTTGGATAGCACGACGGTTGTGTTTGCAGAAACATAGCCGCATTAAATATTGATTGTGATCTCAATATAATTATTTGCCGTTAAAACATATCTTCCATAATTTTGCAGTTTCTCTTAGTAACAAATTTAACGCGGCACCCCAGCAAAGCTCATCTGTTTCTCTGCCTCGCTAAACGTAGCTGGTGATGTAAGAGTTGCTTTTAGCTCTTAAACATCACTCTTTAGTTATTATAGACTTGACTAACGACCGGCTCTGCTGTGCAGGGAACTATTTTTCTCTGCTTAAATCAACTCACTGATAGAGGGCAGTAAAAGTGAGAGGATTTTGCTGTTTAGTCATTTATGTTGTGGTACTCTTAGTGACGCTGTCCCCGAGGGGGAGAAGTGAGTCTTTTTTCTATCGCTCATAGAGGTTACAAGGTCGGCTATTGAACGAGGCAGAAGAAATTCGTTGCCTTGCTGAATGATTCATTAGCAGAACTCGTACTTGGCTGGACTTTGTGGTCTCAGACAACAAGGTTTGGGAATTGATGGGATCCAGTGCTGAAAACAATGTCTGGAGAAGGGCAGTAGAGCTCGCAACCAGCAAGGTCAAGTAACGC